CACAGGAGTAAAGACACAGAAAACCCAGACGTGATGAATAACCAACAAAATAGAGCTTAGTGTGTACGTGGAGTCGCGTCCTCGCAAATTCACGTCCACCAGAACTTCAGAACCTGACCTCATTTGGAAATGGTGTCTTCGCAGGCGTCATTATTTAAGGATCTTCAAGATGAAACTTGCAGTGGGCCATACATCCAATGATCGGTGTCTTTTTAAGAGAAAGGAGAGGGAGTTTGGAGACAGAGACAGGAATGAAGACCACGCGAAGATGAAGCAGAGCTTGGTGCGACGCACAAGCCAAGGGCCGCCGAGAGCCACCAGAAGCCAGAAGGGGCAGGAAGGCTCCTCCCTTAGAGCCCCCGGAGGGAGGGCGGCCCTGCCGGCACTTGGATTTTGGACGTCCAGCCCCCAGAACTGTGAGACAACATTTCTGCTGTTCTGAGCCACCTGGTTTGTGCTAATGCATCATGGCAGCCCTGGAAAATTCACCTCGCATGTATGTATGTATACAGCAATCAGCTTCTAACCCCGAGGTATGCAGAATGCACTGCTTTTCATGGAACATTCATAAAATGTAGGGGTGCCTGAGGGCTCAATCACTGAGGCACCCGACTCTCGATTTCAGCTCAGGTTGTGATTTCAGGGTCGTGAGATAGAGCCCTGCGTTGGGCTCTGCGCTAAGTGGGGAGTCTACTGGAGATCCTCCCTCTCCCTCTCCCCCCTGCTCGTGCTCACACACTCTTTCCCTCTGATTATTGTAGGCCATAAAGAGAATCTCAATAAATTCCAAAGAATAAAAATAACACAAACAGGATTTTCTTTTTTTTTTAAAGATTTTATTTATTTATTCATGAGAGACAAAGAGAGAGAGAGGCAGAGACACAGGCAGAGGGAGAAGCAGGCTCCCCATGTGGGGCCCGACGTGGGACTTGATCCCAGGTCTCCAGGATCACACCCTGGGCCAAAGGCCTGCTGAGCCACCCAGGGCTGCCCAACAGGATTTTCTATTTTGCCATGAAAGTAGAAATGAATAAAAATCTGTCAAGACCCTTATATCTAGAAAAAAAAATGTTAAGATTTCATTTATTTATTCATGAGAGACACAGGGAAACAGAGACAGGCAGAGGGAGAAGCAGGCTCCATGCAGGGAGCCCGATGCAGGACTCGATCCCAGGACCTCAGGATCACAACCTGAGCCAAAGGCAGAAGCTCAACCACTGAGCCACCCAGGTGCCCATTTATGGAAAAAAAAAAACTTAAAAAACATGATAATAACACCTTTTGGGTCAAAGTGGAAATACAGAGTGAAATCACAGAATTTCTTAGGAATAATGATAATGAAAACTCAACAGATGAGTTGACAGAGAAAATGTATAGCACTACATTGGTTTAGCATTACAAAGCTTCAAAGAAACACACCCAACTCAAACAACTGCCCAAATAAGGCAACTATATGTAAGACCCAAGAAAACAATTCATAAAAATGAAAGCAACATTTCATGAGTTATACAACAGAAAAGCAATAGAACAAATGAAATCAAAAGCTGGTTCTATTTATTTATTTTTAATTTTTTTTATTTTTAAGTTAGCTCTTCATCTAACGTGGGGCTCGAACACACAGCCCCCGAGATCAAGAGTTGCACACTCCACCAACTGAGCCAGCCAGGTGCCCCAAGCTGGTTCTCCTGAAAAAAGAAAAGAGAAAAGAAACCCAAAAATATTCCAATCACTAACCTAATCAGGGAAAAACAAGGGGGAAAACACATATAGAAAGTTGGAAATGCCAGGGGGAAAGAACCCTCTAGAAAGGAAGGCAGCATCCCCTCCCAAAACATTCCTGTGTGCTCTTGACAAACGGGAAAACAGATGAAATGGGTCATTTTTAAGAAAAACACAACTCAACCGAAATTGACCTCAAGGGACAGGTCTAAAATGCTCAATTTCCATGGAGGAAATAGAGCAAGTAATTTCAAGAGTGTGCCTGTGATAAAAAGCACAGAGCACACCCAAAAGGCTCCTCAGCAGAATTCTTCCAAACTTTCTCTCTTGGAGCCAAGAAAAAGAAGAAAAACTTCCACATTTGCTTTATAGAGTACGGCATTGACCCTCGACCTGCAAAGAGCGCACTAAAAATAAATTAGTGTAGCGATGCAAAAATCATAAACACGATACTAGCAGACCAATCCAAAGCACGTGAATGTGTGTACATCATGACCACATGGAGTTTAATTCACAAAAGGTCTCTACTAGGAAAGCCACTAATATAATCTATCATATTTTTAGAACTAAGGAAAATCATATGACTTCAGTAGGTGGAGAAAAGGGATTTGAAAAACCCAATACCCATCCATGTTGAAAACACTCAAGAAAATAGAAATCGATGGGCTTGTCCCTAACATCATAAATATGTGTGTGAAATTCACCTCCTGAGGCCAACATTTTATTTAAAGGGGAAACACTAGCTTTTAAACTTAAGTCTGGGGAAAAAAGGTATCTAGCCTAGTATGCATAGTATTTGTATCTTATCTTTCTTTAAAGACAGAAAATAGCCAAGATCTATCAAGAAATGTCTTCGATATAAATAAGGAAAACTGTAAAGCATTCCTGAAAGACACAAAATTGGTCTTGAACAAATGGAAATATATAATACATTCTTGGATGAGAGGATTCAACACTATAAAGATGTCAGCGCTCCCTAAATTGTAAATTCAATGCATTCTGGTAACGATTTCATCATTTCCCCCCACTCCTGGGGCTAGACAAGTTGATTATGAAGTCCATTTGGAAGAACAAGTAAGCAAGAGCAGCTGAGAAAATGCTGGAAAAAAAAAAAAAGAGAGAGAAGAGGGCCAGCCCCAACAGATAACAGAACATCTCAAAAACTTCTATAATGAAAGCAGCCCCGCACACATTTAGACTCTGCTGAGGTATCATTTCTCGTCCCTCGAAGTGGCAAACGACGTTTCATTGGTGCCATTGTGGGGAAACTGTGCATACAGAGCTGGTGACAGCACAAAATGGCACAGCCCTGAGAGACATGGGGTGCTATCCAGCAAAATCCCATGTGCATTTACCCTCCTCCCTTTTTAAAAAATTTATTCATAAAAAAAAAAAACAAAACAAAACAAAAAAAATTTATTCATGAGAGACACACAGAGAGAGAGAGAGGCAGAGACCCAGGCAGAGGGAGAAGCAGGCTCCATGCAGGAAGCCCGACACGGGACTCGATCCCAGGACCCACGATCACGCCCTGAGCCGAAGGCAGATGCTCAACCACTGAGCCACCCAGGCGTCCCAATGAACTGGAATCTGATCAAGCTTCTAGATTCAATGACAGCTTTTCTCCCCAGTATTTACTAACAGAGAATAGAGTTCACAGGAACATGTCAACCTATAGCCTAGGGATAAAATCAGCCAGGCCCAGAACATGGGATCCTGGTGTGTTACTGGGGCGGGGAGCTAGACATTGTAGATTGAAGACAGACATAACTACAGTAAGATACCACTTCATGTCTACTAGGATGGCCATGATCAAAACGACGTTAAGTGTTGGCCAGGAAGTGGAGAAATTAGAACCCTTGACGCTGCTGGTGGGGATGCAAAATGGTGCAGCTGCTTGGGAAAACAGTCTGGCAGTTCTTCGAAAGGTTAACCACAGATGTACTGTCTGACCCAACATTTCCACCTTTAGCTTTAGGCCCAAAAGAAATAGAAATATAGGGGATCCCTGGGTGGCTCAGTGGTTTGGCACCTACCTTTGGTCCAGGGCATGATCCTGGAGTCCCGGGATGGAGTCCCACATCAGGCTCCCTGCGTGGAGCCTATTCTCCCTCTGCCTGTGTCTTGGACTCTCTCTGTGTCTCTCATGAATAAATAAATAAAATCTTAAAAAAAAGAAATGGAAATATATGTTCACACAAAACCTTGAATATGAACGATGGTAGCAGCATTATTCACACTAGCCAAAGAGTGGAAGCAACCCAACCGCCCATCGACTGGTGAACGAATAAACAAAATGGCCTATCCACACACTGGAATATTCTTCAACAATAAGAAGGAGTGAAGCCCTGATACCTGCAACCACATGGATGAACCTGGAAAAGCTACTGCTGAGTGAAGGAAGCCAGACATGAAGGCCACACACTGTGTGATTCCGTTTATATGAAATGTCCAGAATAAATCAATCCATAGAGCCAGAAAACAGGTTAGTGGTTGCCAGGGGTTGGGAGAATTGGGGATCACTGGTAATGGGGTCTAGGGTTTTTTCTTGGGGTGATGAAAAAGTTACCATTGCTTGTAGTGACACCTGCATAATTATGAATATCCTAAAAACCAATGAATTACACACTTTAAACAGGTGAACTATATGGTATGTGAATTCTATCTCAAGAGAACTGTTACCAAAAAAACCCCCAAAACCTTGAGCATAAAAAAATCCCCAATAAATGCATATTTGGATTCTGTTCAGTTAAAAAAATGACATATGAGACACCTGGAAGAGTGAACCCTGCATATTTAATGACATTAGAAGTTATTAAGTGTTAAAATGTGGTAAGGATACTGTGCATGCTTTTCTCTTTTAAAAAGCAACACATACTGAAAATATTTACAGCTGAACTGAGGTGTACAGGATTTGCTTTGAAACACAGGACGTGAGACAGGTAAAGGTGTAGACAAAACAAGCTGGCCATGACTGATCCAAAATTCAGAGAGAGGAGGACTGCATATGTGTTCATTTTACTATTCTACATTTATATGTTTTTATGTTGAAAAATGAGTATTTTTTAAAAAAAAGATTTTATTTAGAGAGATTGTGTGCACGGGGGTCAGGGTGTGGGGTGGGGTGACACAGAGGAAGAGAGAGAATCCTGAGCTGAAACCAAGAGTTGGATGCCTAACCGACTCTGAGCCAATTAGGGGCTGCCCCCCCCAAATTAGTATACTCCTATATGTAAGTCCACGTAATTACATTTTTCTTTTAAAAAAAACACACATTTCCATTCTGTTCTTAAGGCAGGTTAGTTTAATTTCATAGAAGGAATATTTTCAAACAATACAAATGACACAATTTGGGAACGGTGACAAAAACAGAGATGAATACTGATTATAACTTAATCCCTTGACAGAAGGTGATTTATTTCAGCAGTGACAATTTAGTGATCAGAAGACGTGAAGACCAAATTCCCTTTCACTGGCTGCACTGTTGCTAGAGAATCCGAGTGGGCAGACTTCAATTTGGACGGTCTCTGGACCGGAGCTGCTGATAAAGCGCGGCAGCTTTCCTATCCCAAAGCGCGGTTACGGACAAATTTACCCAGAAGATGAAAACGCCCCTGCAAACAACGGGACTTCACTTTTCTGACATGTGGGGTGTTCTCGGGGGGGGGGGGCTGTCTTCACCAGAAAGAAGCTGCAAAACCAGGTCAGGAGAGAGAGGCTCGGCGAGCTTGTCCCTGTCCGCGGGCCCCGTCGGCCCGGCCGGGGAGCAGCACAGAACCCATCACCGTCCACCTCCTCCACTTGCTGGCTTTTCTCTCCTGCTCACTCTGGTCCCACTCGGGTGCAAAGGCAGATCCTTGCAGGGAGGCAGGAGACGTCAACTAGAGAGGTGGCGAATCCAAGTGCTCCTTGGATGACACCGCAAGAGGGACTGCATTTGTTTCTGGTGGGGCAGAGTTAAAAAAATAAAAACAAAACAAAACAACTGACAACAACGAAAAACCCCAGCCACGGAAACACAGAACACTAAAAGCTGCGGGGGGGGGGGGCGCTCCAAACAGAAGCTTGCGTGCACCGGGGCCAGGGCCCCCGCATGGGCACAGGGGGCCTTCCCCACACTGCCTGAGAGAGGCTGGCGGGGAGCGGCCTCAAGGCCCCGAGCCCAGGAGAGAGGTCTTCGTGCACCCAAGGCCATCTCCGCAGCCGGTGAGCGCTGCGCTTGACACGCGCACGCTCTGCCCCTTGCACACTCGGTCTGGCTGCAGATAGCTTCTTCGCTGGAGTTCCAAGTTTCGGCAGCTGGGGGCACAGAGGGCCTGCCGTTGTCATCGCCTGCTTGGCAATGCCGTCTGCCGTGGGGCGGCTCTGGCAGGGGCTCACAGTGGGTGCGTCTCTGCCTCCATTGTGGGTTATGTACACAGAGAAATCAGCGGGACGCCGAAGATGACAATGACGACAGAAGCGCGACCAGAGGCAGCAGTAGAGCGCCAGGGCTGCGCCGTGAAAGCCTGACGTCCTCAGCCCGCAGCACCTGCCCACTCCACCGGCTGTGGTAGGTCTCGTGTCGATGAAATGCTTTTACAAAACTCATTTTTAACAAATGTAGAGGTCGGCAGGTTATACAGGGGGACGGTTACAGATGAAAGTGTGTGTTGGGGGGAGACACTGATTCAAGGGGGCCACTTCCCAGGGAGGGGCAGAAAGATCTGGAAGAGAGCTCTGGCTTCTTCTACGGTTCACACGACCCATCTCATTTACTTGTCTGAGGCCTCGGAAAGGAGAGTGCATTTCAGATACAATAAATATGCATTCGGCAAAATATTTAGATCATTTGACATTTTCAAAGGACATTGGTATAGTTTTATTGCATAAAAAAATTTTTTCTCCCCTCATGAACTACTTCTAAGATTTTTTAAGAAATACTGGGTAGACTCCAATATGGGGGAGTGGGGGACAGATTTTGATTTAAATCAAATACTCTCCTGTAAGTGCCTCACTGGGTAACTGTCGTTACCCACGCATGCTTGCTTCCTTCCACGAAAAATCGCCTTCAAAGGCCATCACGTCCACATCATAAGCGCTACGTCTGTCCATGGGTCCACGGACTCTGAAGACGTGCGCTCCTGGTTCTCGTCCCTTCCCTTCATGACAGACGGAGTCATAGCGCAAGAGGTCCACGCTGCCTTGTTGGTCATGATCAGATGGAGCAGACTCAAAGGTGGAGCTGCTCTGGCGAAGGCAGGGGGTGTGGACAGCCACCACGGGCAGGCAGGCTAAAGGCCGGGATGCCAGGGGCCGGTGGCCCGCACACGAGTGCGCACAAGGCGACAACAGGATGAGAGGCCGTCAGTGCGCAGTCGGGCACCACACGCACGACATGTGAACTAGCCCTGAGCCACCGCAGTCCGTATCTTAACACGAGTGCGGAGGGTACGATATACGTGCTAAATACACATAGAAGTAACTGATACAAGTGACGAATTTAGCGGTGTTTTTGCATTTTGGGTGTCAGAAATAAAACCGGCCCCAAAGTTCCATTCTACTGCATGACAAATACTGAAGCACAAAATTTTAGTCTTAAAATACATCTTAAAGTCAGTATTTTCCTTCAAGGAAAAAAAGTACTATAAATAAATTACAATACAGTGAATTTGCCTGAACTCACTTTGTTTCTGTCTTCCAGCCTTTAAGTCAAATAAAACAGCGTAAAAACTGTACACTCTTAACAAGATAGTTGATCTTTTATAAAATAACCTGTCTTCAGAGATGTCAATTTCACAACAAGGAAAAACCAAGCCCTGTTGCCGTCACTATTATAAAATATATATGTATAGATATATGTGTGTTTTTTTACAAAGTGTGTATATTAATAGCTTTGCACAAATATTTTAAGGACAAATTTAGCTAGTCTAAGAACTTCATGAAAATAAAACAGGCAGATAAATACTTCAAGTGTACGAAGTACTATATCAGACATCGTCGGCAGGCAGAGGAGGTACGTTGATCCTTGGTCTTGTAAAAAAGGCTATCTTCTCCCTGGGATTGGAAAGAATTACAGGTTAGAAGTGGACATAAATGCAATGAAAGCTGGTGGGAGGCTCCCTTATCAGTGACAGCTCTTCTTACAGAAACAGTTGAACTTAAATTCCTAACAACATCGGTTTGTATATGGATTCTCTAAATTTTAACGGAAGTTATGAAGCCCCACGAGGACGAGGGTTTATCTCCAGTGCCTAGAACAGTGCCTGGTCTATAGTAGGTGCTCTGCAAATATTTGCTTTTTAGTAAATGAATGAATAAATGAAAAGCTATACAAATGAAGGAGTCCTAAATCACGGTTGAAGGAAGATAGTTACCATGTTTTAGGTTCCTTTCTGGTGGGAGTGGGAAAATCCAGGGTATAAAAAAATTAAGGCAATTGTTGAGCCATAAAAAGGAATGAGGTTCTAACGCACGCTACAACACAGATGCACTTCGAACTCATTATCTTAAGAGCAGCCAAGCACAAAAGATCACAGAGTGTATGAGTCCACTTACACGGAATGTCCAGAAGTGGCAAAACCAGAGAGAGCGAAAGCAGCCTGGGGGGTGCAGGGGGCCGTGGGGAGGGGGAAGCGGGGAGGGGCCACTTTACCGGGACAGGGCTGCCTTCTGGGGTGAAGGAAAGGTTCTGGAACTGGACGGAGGGGGTGGCTGCACGGCACCACAACTGCGCTAAGTTCTACGGAACTGCTCATTTAAAATGGTAACTTTCATGCTATGTGAATTTTGCCTATTTTTCAAAAATCCAGACACAAAAGAATACGGATGTAACTGTAACTCTCCTCATATGAAAAAGAAAAACAGGGAAAACTAACGTGTACTATTCAAATTCAAGACGGTCGTTATTCTGGTGTGGGAAATTAGGGACGGGGTGCCCAGAGGGCTTGAGTCTGGCCACGCAGAGTTGTGACGACTCACCGAACTACTTCATACCGACAGAACGCACGCCTCCCTGCATGTGTATTATGCCTCAATAAAAAGTAAAAAGGCAAAGGTGCCACGTGTGTACATATACGTAAGCCACTGTGTGTGTTCCCAACAGCAAATATTTGGAAAGAGGTTTAGAAAATAGGCAAATTATATCTTAGATGAAACATTATAGTCAAAAGAGAGCAGATTATGTGGCAATACAGGATATATTCATCAAAAAAAAAAAAAAGCTAAATGCAAACTCGAACCCACATCATGATGACAAGCAACATAAAAAAACCCAGCGCCTAACCAAAAAGGATCAGGAAAAGAAAACATCAAAATACTAACAGCAGTGGGGATTCTGGTTTTATCCTTAACTGCCTGTGGGTTGTTTTTTAATGCTCTCTATTTTTTATGATGACGAAGGTATGACAGTATAAAGCCAGCAAGGAGGCAGGGCCTGCGGCCTTCTCTACCTGAAGGTCTGCACTTGGATGGGCTCTTTGTGGCTCCGTCCGCGCAGCTCGCACACCCCTCTGGAGGCCTTCTTCAGCATCTTCTCAGCTGCCTGTTCCTGATGGAAGTCAAGTTTGGTCTGTCTTGTCTGGAACGGCAACATTGGAAGAACAGGGCCCTTTTACTTCTAGTTTTTTTTTGTTTCTGTTTTAAAGATTTATTCATTTATGAGAGACACAGAGGCAGAGACATAGGCAGAGGGAGAAGCAGGCTCCCCTGCAGGGAGCCTGACATGGGTGGGACTCGATCCCGGGGTCATGACCTGAGCCAAAGGCAGACACTCAACCACTGAGCCACACAGGTGCCTCTTTTACTTCTGGTTTTACGGAAGAATGAGGAAAGCCACTCCCAGCTCTGGGGGCCTGGAGGGGAGAAAGGCCTGCCTCGTCCTCACACGGCCCCACCACAGGGAATCCTCCCAGGAGCTACTGGGGTCCTTGGGATCATGCCTTGAGGACGGCAGGCCCAGAATATTCCACCACGAAGCGGAGAGTGGCGATGCCCGCCGGCAGCACCCTCCTCCCCACCCCATGCCACCTGAGGCAGCTGCAGAAGGCAGGTGTCCATGCACCCAGGAGCACCAGCCGCGGGGCCCACGGAGGGAGACAGCCAACTCCTGCAGCCCGGCCCGTGCGGCGCCGACGTGCAGCGTCCTCGTCAGGGCCAGGCGGGCCCCAGGGCGCAGGGCTGCGGCCTCTCACCTGCCTCTCTGCCTCCTTCAGCAGGCTCCGGAACCGCTCGTCCCGCAGCACCCAGTGCGGGAGGTCAGTCTGGCCTCGGAGCTGCGCGTCTTCCAACCGCTGTCTCAGCTCCCGCAGGGCGCAGATCTCCTCGTTCAGCTGCCTCTGCCGTGTCCTCGAGGCCTGGAGGTCCAGCTCCAGGTCCAGGGAGGTGCGGGCCATGAGCTCGGCCAGGGACGACCTGCAGGGCTGCGGGACACGGCGGCTGTGAGCACGTGCTAAGCTGTTACTGGGCACCACGCGGCCAGCGGCCCGGACTCCCAGCCCCGCTTGTCCACCGAGAAAGGGGACCGGGGATCAGAGCTCTCCGAGGGGCGGTTCTCTGCGCATGGCCGAGGGGAACACTGATTGGGGCCAGATTAATTTGAATCTCCAGCTCAACACCAAGTTGTCTGCTTTAATGGTGACCTATGCATCTGCAAAAGTGTAGAGAAACAGACCCTCTCATATGGAGCTGGTGGGGTCAAAAATGGGCATCACCTTTCTGAAGGCCTACTTGACAGTACACGTCAAGGCACAAAACGTGCACTTCTTTGGTTCTGAAATTTCACTTTGACTTGCCTTTGAAAGGCATAACTCATGACATGCAAAAGTGATCCAGTTAAAGTTTATGACACAGAAAACCTAAACATATAACAAGAGAAAATGGATTAGGTCAGTTACAAGGCCAGCATAAAACACAGCCACTGTAAAAAGCAGAAAAAAATATATTGGAAAATCTTAAATGATCCACCATATAAAGGGGGAAAAGCATGTCATAAACCATAGGAATGCTTTTTGTTTAAAAGATTATACACCCACACACGCAAGCTGTCAAAACCTTTCCTCCCCGTATAAGCCTCAAGCAAGCAAACCTGCCACGTTCGAGAGAAGTCCTAAGATAAGAGGAGAATTTTTGTGTGTGGCGCTGAGAACAGTACTTCCCATTGGATGGGAAACGCCCGTAGGAACAGCAATTACTGTAACACCCAGCAGCGCCGTTTGGTGGGCTGAATAACCGCAGGCTTCTTACACGCACATAACACTATTCTGCACACATATGGAATGTGAATGCAAATATAGGAGAGGATTTCATAAACACAAGTTCATTTAAAACTACTCAATTCATGGTAGAGCTCAGTGGTTCTCAACCAGAGATGACTTGGCCCTCCAGGGGCCACTGGACAGTGTCTGGAGACATTTCAGGTTGTCACAAGTCGGGGTGGGGGTGGGAGGCCGCCTAATGGCAACTAGGGATGCAGCTCTGTGCCCTCCAGCACCCAGGCCAGTCCCCAGGACCAGGCCCCAGTGCGAAATGTCAACAGCGTGGCTGCTGAGAAACACTTTTATAGCTGAATTGGGTCTTTTCTTCTTGTTCCCAGTTGGCAGCTGCTCTACGTACAGCCACCGCAAGGAAATCTGGGTTTTATTATTATTTCTTTAATACAGTCTTATCCTGAAAAAGACAAGGAACTACCCGCTTAGAACAGAAAGCAACAAACTCTGTAAACTGATGTGATATGGAGGAAAAAACATGGTGGGTAAAGTAAATTAAAGCAGAACAGGCCTATGTAGAATGCTCGATGCCGAAAAAGGCAGATTTTCTCAACTATACATACTCCCTTGTCAAAAAAGAAAAAAGAATCTTTCGTACAGATTAGTTGATTCTATATTACCATATTTAAAAACGTGAAGATCATGAATTATTTTAGATCATGATGTTATCCTAGGAAATTAAGAAATATTGGTAATGTTCTGATATCATATAGGCTCCTAAAACTTATACCTAAGTTAAAAAGGAAATACATTACCTTTTTTTAAAAAAAAGTTACTTTTAATTATTGTTACCTAAAATATTGCCTTTTAAGTTCTATAAAAATGACTCCCGGGGTGAGTACACTCCACATTAGTTGACATGGCACGTACCTGCTTATAGCGAAGGGTCCGTCTTTCCAAGGTGTTTCGGACAAAGGGGGACTTCCGGGGCAGCGTCGAACTGTCGCTGTCACTACGATAAAGCTGTGCCAGAATAATAATAATAATGTTCAGAAACACTTTCTCAGAAATTCAATATTCATTCTCTCCATGTATCTGAACTGCATTATTTCATTTTCCTTCACGGGTACCCGAACCCACTGATGACGGCTGGTACTTTTACCAAGCCTTCTGGTCTCTGTGAAGACAAAACTGAAGCAAGTGTCAAGTAAAATTAAAGACCAATAAGAACAAATCAAATAAGCAAACCAACCCCCCACCCTCCTTCACCCAAACCGTGTGAAGTTTCCAGGGGGACAGAGTCAACAAATTCCCGCCCTACTAATACCGACTGGGACTTGTCGCGTGCAGCGCTCACAAAGCCAGCACGGACCTCAGTGCCTCTCGCCTGCTCTCGCTCATTGTCATTTGCTCTATTTCTGGCTTTGCCAAGACCTGGGAAAAAACGGCTTTCCAAAAAGAGACTCGTTCCTGGTAGTAGGACGAGACACCACCACTTACATCCCCTCTGCCAGTCAAGGGAAAGGGACTGCTTTTAAAATGAAAAATACGCCAGGCTCCCTGCATGGAGCCTGCTTCTCCCTCTGCCTGGTCTCTGCCTCTCTCTCTCTCTCTCTCTCTCTCTCTCTCTCTCATGAATAAATAAATAAAATCTTAAAAAAAAAAAGTAGCAGCACCTTCTTTATGGGAGCAGAGACATTTCGTGGTGGGTTCTTGCTTCAGGATCAAAGTTGATCTGTGTGAAAGCCGAAGTCCTTCCTTGCCTTCGTGGCCTCCTTGTCCATGCCAGTTAACCCCAAATGCCCAGGAAATGCGGTGGCACGGCAGTGTGTATGCCCCCCACCTCGATCGTTACAGACAGATAAGAACAAAGAAGCCTCTAAAAGCATCATCTGTAAATGCGTGCTCTTAGGCAGGGCACAGAACACGGCACAGGAGCTGGAAACCTTTCTTTGGGGAAGGAAAGGATTTCCTCCTTCACCACACCCTTCTCACCGAGCAGACCTGAGCCCACTCTGCGGTGGTTTGGCCAGAGCCTAAGGAAGGGCCGTGAGGGACGCCTTCGATCTAGTATCTCTAAGCGTCTGGTTAAGCATAAGCCCCCATGGGGCTGTAGCCTGATGGGGCAGAGTGGCCGAGCCTGACCCCGTGTGACCCAGGGTAGCTATGACTGGACATCTTGCTTCTGTGGGAAGAAGCGCAGCAGGTGTTGCAAGTGGCACAGGGGCAGCTTGGGCCACCGGGCCCCAGCATCCTGCTGTTCACTGCCCCCACCCCCCCTGCCCTCTGTAGGGTGAAGGGTTAGCTCTGCTCCAAAGAAGGTTTGGTCCTTGCCCAGCTGCTAGGAAGTGCCCTGTAAACCCCTGGAATGTCCTGCCTAAGTGTCTCTGTTTACCTGGGGACCTTGGGCCAGGCGGCACATTCTCTGCTAACAATGTGATTCCTAGTGGGGGCCTTAGGCCGTCAGCTTGACTTCTGGAGGGGCTGGAGACTAAGGTCAGCCACGCAGGCAATCAGCTCTGCCACTGCGACCAACCTCCCACAGAACGCCCGGTTGGCAACCCTCCGTGCACGCGGCCTCTCCCAGCAGTGACTAGTGACAAGAGCCATTTGCACAACTCCACAGGGAAAGAACCGGCAGCTTGTGCCAGGTCTCTCCTGAATGCTGCCCTGCGTGCCTCCTCCCTCTGCTGACCCTGGTCTGTGTCTTTTCACTGTAATAAACCACAACTGTGAATATAGTGGCTTTGCTGAATTCCGTGGGTACTAGCAAGTCACTGAACCTGAGCATGGGCTCAGGGACCCCTGAACCATTCTCCCGATGTCTCCTGCACAGTTCTCACGCCGTTTCTCTCCAATGACTGAACTTCGGCTTTGCCCAAACAGAGCCAGCTCTTTGGTCATCCCCTTCAGCAGAAGGTGCTTTACTTCAATAAGCCCAGTTCAGAGGTGGGAAGGGTCAAAGGTCTCCTCCATCTAAACAGCCCCATCAGGCCACTGTGCCATGACCATTCATCCTCCAAATTCCCTTCTCCTTCCTAATCTGTGTTGTCCCTGTCACACCACCACAGCCAGCCAACCTCTGACATGCTGTCCTATCCTCAAGGACCCAGAGGATTGGGTCTCCCTCTCTCTCTCAGGGTTCTCAACATCAGAATCATCTGGATGCTTCCATATGCTCTGATGTCCAGGCTCCACCATGACCAATGACGAATCTCAGGGGTGGAACCCGGGCACCAGCATTTTGTGAAGCCCTCACCCCTCCACCCCCCACCATGCCGACTTGACTCCATTGTGCAGTGCGGCCAAGGCTGAGAACCACCGGTGTCTCCTGCCTTCACCCTTGGGGTGATAATTTACGTGGGGGGGGGGGGTCAGAACCCTGCCTCAGTGCCCCGAGCCTTCAAGGCTGCCATCACCCTGGGACCCTGCTACAGCTACACTGCAAGACTTCCAACCACTCAGTGGGCTGACTTCCCAATCTCAACTCAACTGAGGATAGATACTCCCTGTTCCAATTTGTTAGCCCTCAGGCTGATGTGGAAACAACCCGCCCTGCTTGCCGACCAGGAGTTGGGGCACATACACACTGAAAATCTAGGGAGAGATGTATTAGAATCTTGAAGAGATCCAGAGTTAGATATGCGTGGGAGCGGAGGAGTCGGAGTCACAAACCTGACTGCATATCCACACGTGTGGTGCTCATTATCACTACTTGTGAGAACACACAGGTCTTCTAGCGTGAACAGTAAAAATAAAACATGACAAAGGGGGGAGGAAAAAAAAGAAAATGCTCCAGACAAGTGGCAAAGGAATTTCAACTTACTCTGCAAACATACTGGCTTCGTGCTCCAGGAGAGAAGGTCTGTGAACGGACAATCGTGCTACTCCGGATGAAAGGTGACCCGCGGGCCCTGCGGCTGGGCCTCTCCTTCGGAAGACTCGCTACTTCTTCTGGAAAGACATCTTCAGTGTTGGTTTCCTTATCAACCTAGAGAGTAGTTCATTATTACCATGGTTTGTTCTAGAATATGAGCAATTAGCTTCACATGAGCCATCCTAACCTTCTTCTCCCTTGGAGTTCTAGCTGGGATTTCACCCTTATGTCCAAAACAAGTTTTGATACTCCTCCTCCCAACACACACGCATCTCCTCCTATAAGAATCTCTTACTTCCCAGTTGTTCATGCTAAAACAAAACAAAACAAAACAAAACAAAACCCTCCACGTCACCCTGGATTCTACGCTCTTTCATAGATACCATATCCAGTTCAAGATCAAATCCTACTGGTTCCGGGTTTATGAAGAAGCATGTTTTGACCACTTGTCACCAACCTTCCATTTGGGTGACCATCATCTCATGCCCAATTGGTACAGTAGGCTTCTGACCGGTCTCCCCGATTCCACACCTCTTTCCCCCCTTTAATCTCTCAACTCAGCAACCAGGGAGATCCTGGTAAAGCTGAAGTTAGACCGAGCAATCCCATTCCTAGACATTCACTCCAGAACAATGAAAACAGGTATTCAAACAAATACTTCCACGCAAACATTCACAACATATTATTCACGTAGCCCAAAAGGTAAAAGCAGCCCAAATGTCCATGCATGGACGGACAGACGGATGGATGGATGGATACAAAGGGCAGCAGGCCAATCAAGGGAATACTACTCAGCCGTGAAACAGAGTGAAGTTTCCAGAACGGGCAACCCCCTAGGCAGAAAGCAGATGGCTGGTTGCCAGGAGCTGGGGGAGCAGGGTTGGGGAGTGACAGTCTCAATAGGTACAAGGCTTTATTTGGGAGGCAATGGAGATGTTTTGGAACTAGATAGAGTGGTGGTTGCCCACATCGTGAATATGCTAAATGCCTCTGAACTGTTCACTCTGCATATTTCATGTCAAAAAATTTTTTGAGAAAAAGAAAAATCATGGGGCACCTGGGTGACTCAGTCGGTTAAAAGTCCAACCCCTGACTTCAGCTCAGGTCATGATCTCAGGGTTGTGAGATCAAGCCCTGTGTCAAACTCTGCACTCAGCACGGAATCTGCTTGGGATTCCCCCCACCCCCACCCCACTAACACTTGCATGCTCACTCTCGAAGGGAGGGAGGGAGGGAGGGAGGCAGGGAGGGAGGGAGAAATCAGTGGAAAACTTTAAGTCAGATCATGTCAACCAGACCTCAAAACCACCCACCACTTTCTCAATCCTCTCAGAGAAAAGGGAGAGTCTGGAGTGAGCCCTATATGACCTGGTCCTTTCCCTTCCCTCTATCCTTGGCTCTGACGAACCCCTTGCCCTATGCTGGTCCCACTGCTGTTCTCTCATCAGCCCCCACAACCCCACCCGGGGGCCTGCACTTGCAGCTCCATGTACCAGAATGTTCTTCCCCAGCCCCACACATGGCTCCTGACACTCCTGCCTTAAGGCCTCTGCTCAAAAACTGCCTTCTCGGTGAAGCTTCCATGACCTTTTGTTCTTTTTTGTTGTTAAAAAAAAAAAAAAATTTACATTAACCATTTTTTTCAGTGTAGAGTTCAGTAGTGTTAAATATATTCACGTTGTTGTGAAACAGAGCTCTAGAACTTTTATCATCTTCCCAAACTGACTCTGTCCAGATTACATAACTCCCCATCCTCCCACCCCCTAGCCCCTGGCAACCACCTCTGTACTTCCTGTCCATATGAATTTGGATACTCTAGTGACCTCCCGTACGTGGAATCATCCAGTATTCGCCCTTCTGTGGCTGGCTGATTTCACTTAGCACAATGTCTTTAAGGTTTGTCTATGCTGTAGTATGTAAGGCAATTTCCTTTTTTAAGGCTCAGTGATATTCCATTGTATGGATAGACCGCAGTTTCCTTATCCATTCATCTGACGATGGGACACTTGGGTTGCTTCTACCTCTAGGTGATCATGAATAGTGCTGCTGTGAACATGGGTGTGCAAATCTCTCTTGGAGACCCTGATGTCAATTCTTTTGGACCTAGATCCAGAAGTGGGACTGCTGGATCATATGGCAGTTCTATCTTTAAGTGTTTGAGGAACCTCCTTACTGTTTATCCATGGAGGCTGCACCAGTTTACAATCCCGATCTTTCTAAAATATAAGGGCAAATTTATCTCTCTAGATGTAAACCCCGTCTAAAATAATAAATCTTTCTAAAAACGCAAACCCCACTTCCCTACCACCTGATCCTCCAGCAGCCCCTCTTCTCAGGCACTCCTGAACTTTCCTGAGCGATGTTGTGACCTGCTTCCCCCTGGACGGCCAGATTTCCCATTCGCTTTCATCACTGCTGCATCTGCAATGCCTAGCACCCCTCCCCCCCCTCAGCCCCGCCCATGCAGAGAGAGAATGCAAACATGGCCAAGAATGAACAGCTGGGGAACTCAGGTGAAGGGCATGTGGGTAATTGTTCTATTAGTCTAGCAACTTGTCTGTATATTAGAAGTGTTTTGAAATTAAAATCAGGGGGTGGGGATGACGACCACACATCGATCTAGCCTCCCACAGTTTCCCTCCCCCATTTGAGCCCACGCTTTTAAAGGTCTTAAAATGCTGGCCAACAGCAGACACTGGCGGCCTGGTCCACAGAACAGCTCCCCTAGAGGGGCTGCATGTGTGCAGCGTGGGCAGCTGATGCCACCTCTCTCAGGACCCGTGCTGTGGGGGGACAGCAGGGGCCATGGTGAGCGCACGTTTCAAAGAGTTGAGCAGTTTTGGGACAAAAGGTTCCATAGAGCATTGATTCAGTGTCTCCAGACCTCACGGGCTTCCTTAGGCACGTGTCATGGCAAACGTGACTGATTTCCTCACCGAGGGTACGGCCATGAGCACAGCTAAGATCAGGTGAACGGAAGGGAGCAAAGGGGCACTTCATAATACTCACTGTCACTATGGGAGAAAAGAGATTACAAGTGTCCAGGTGATGACAAGTGAACCATCCTGAGCTATAAGGGGCCCTACAGACAGGAGTGGGTCATCACCGCACGACATGGAGGACACATCTACACCTTCAAGCTGCAGCTATCCTTTCTGTTCCGTTGAGAGTTGACAGACATTTCTATGGCACCTGCTGTGCCCATTTTAAGTGGCTTCTTCACTTCTTTCCCTGGGCTCTCCATGAAACACCGTCGAGGCGATGGCCCCGGGCCCCACAGCACCGTCTGTCGTGCACTGCACCTTGCCCACGGCCACGGTCGCGGGGAGTGTCTGCACTAAGCCACACTGTCCTACTCCTGCACTTGAGCCTGTCAGCTTCAGTTTTTTCTCATCCGTGTCCCCACCAATCCCCGTGTGGTTTGCGTAGGGGATATGGGCACACATGCCCCCCTCCAGGGCAGTGCCCATTGTCGTGCGGCAGAACGTTGGGGGCCCCCGTAAGTCCCCTGACCATTCCACTTACCTTAAGAGGTGGAGGCTGAAGTTTCTCGAGACTGTAAGGATCTGCCTGGCCAGCAAACGCATGTCCATGGAGGGGGTCAACGCCGACACAGCAGGGCTCTGGGTGTGGGGGGCTGGTCTGGGCGCAGCTGCTGCAGCCACTGTCGACCGAGTCGGCTTGCCAACTCCTACGGGCAGACATTGCCGAAGCCCACAACATGTGTGTCAAGGTGGTCTTCTGGCCCTTCACCTCTTCTTCCCCAACATTTCCTCCCCAGCTTCCCCTGACCACCCTGTCTTCTGTTCCTTATCAGGAATTCTTAAGTGAATCTTACTAGTGTGGAGTGGAACAGGTGCTAACAGCTCTCCAGGATTTCATTTCTGTTTTTCCTTTTGTGGACGGTTCCTTTCACTCCTCATCCTGTACATGAATGTTCTGTGTAACCTCTGCTGACTTTGGTAAAAACCCCTTGCCAGAACTCTGGTGTCACGATAATAAAATACACTCTCCGTGAGCATCCTGCCTTCTGGGTGGCCCCGAGCGTGCCCAGCATGTTTCCACAGAGGTGCGGGCGAGAAAAGCCACTTGCACTGAAGTCCTCCGCCAGGACTCCAGCTGCCCAGCACTGGGCTGCGACGGCCCCAGAAAGTGCGCTCTGTGTCCCCGATGTGCAGAAGGGCCTCGCCCTACCTCTCAGACACGGCCTCAGCCAGCTCCTCCTTCCGCTCCATCTCCAGGATCTCATCCTCTGTGTACTCCAGCTTCACCCGCTCCTCGGCCAGCTCGCGCTCCACGGCCTGCAGCTGGGCTGTGGTTCTGGCCAGCAGCGCCGTCACTGCATCCTGCGGGGGGACAGGGGTGCTCCTGAGCTGGGTCTGGCCACCCGCTGCTGCTCTCCAGTGGCAAGAAGCGCACACACTGCGTGCCAGCAGGACGTAGCCTGGCCACTTCGTGCAGCTCCAGGGGCTCAAATTTTAAAACCATCAATGTGTCACTGCCGATCACTAGTTCGTCTGCATTAAAACCATTGTTGTGATGCCCACATACCTCAAAACCTCCCACTTCCATGCCTTCCCTTGAAACCGCCTCTTGGGCACCGCTGCACCCAACACCAAGTGTGCAGAGGCGCTCGGGACAGCTGAAGCCCTAGTGACAGCGGGCGTCGGTGGCAGGAGGGCAGTGGCGCTGTGCACGTACCGTCTTCCCGGCAGCGGCCTGTGCGGGGTCCCCGGCGGCACCCCCCGCCCTCTCACTCTCCCTCGCTCTGGGCGGCCCGCAGCTGCCGAACACCTGCACTGTGTACCAACGCAGCTGCATTTCGCTGGACCCGTCATAGTCGGCCAAGTTGATCTGAGCAATGCCCTGCATGAGTGTTAAAAAAAAAAAAGCAGAACAGGCACTGAATGATTCCACCTTAACGACCAACAGGAACTTTGTCCAACACCAGGTCACCCTCCAATCTTAACCAGACAGGGAGAATGTGCCACTGCTATTCAAAGGACCGCAGTAAAGTGAAAGTGGTAGCAGAGGATCTTACTGAGGGAAGCTCTGCGACTGCTGGTTCAGCCCAGCGGGAAAGTGCCAGGAGGGGCACAGGGGCAGAGATGGACAACCTGTGGGGGGGGGGGCAGGCTCGGGTCTGCCAAGTGACAAGCTACAGATTCGCTCTGAGATTTCTAGGGCTTCCTGAACTCCACAATCGAATTCTGCTGCCGAGGGGGGAGACCAAGGGACAAAACTCCAACTGTGCAAAAAGACCATTCTGGCTGCCGAGTCATGGCCCTGGACGGTGCATGGGTGGGCGCACTGAACACAAGCTGCTCATGCTCTTAGTTCTAGAGGTACCAGATAAAATACAGAGCAGCCAGTGAATGGAAGTATAAGTATGTCCCAAATATTGCATGGAACATATATTATTATTTATTAATATAATACTTATATTTAAAAAAAATCCACAGATTTTTTGAAATTTGCATTTAATTGATCACCTTACATTTTTATTTGCCCAATTTCTCAATCCTACTTAGTTCCCTCACCTGAAAATGGGGGAGATATAGAAGTCTTACAAGTATTAGTCGAGATAATATATTTAAAGTATAACACGCCTGGCAAGACAAATCCTGTATTCCCTGCTACAGAGATCACCTAACATGATGACAATTTCTAAGCAGCCTATCATAGGAAAAAGGAAGGGGGGGGGGAGAAGGGAGAAGAGGGAGGAGGAGGGGAAAGAAGGAAGGGAGGGAGAGAGAGAGAGAAGAGAGACAGGCAGAAAGACAAGGCAAAAACAAAGAATGAAAGAAGGACAAAAGGTGGAGTGACAAGAATGAAAAACAAAGAAAGACCAGAAGGGGTGGGAGAGACAAAGACTGAGGGGAACACAAAGAAAGGAAGGAGGGACAGGAAATGGGGGGGTAGATGGGGGACATACCAGCAGTTCTTCTTGCAGCTGCTGATTCACGGAACATACATATAACTGAAGCGACTTCAACGTCAACATGCTTGAATGCACAGGGATTCGGAACATTTCATTAAACACCAGGGGAGCCTGGAATTCCAGAGCCTTAGAGCAGTAAGTGTTCGGTGTGCCAGAGTCGATGGGCGGCAAATAAACGCGGATGTGACTGGAACCAGAAAGAAGGGGGAAAAGACAAAGAGGTGACACGATGACACACACGAACCACACACACGCATACACACACGTGGGTTTCCCTGTTCGGACGTCCGCGGGCAGAATTTTAAAGTCTTTTGTTCCCAAGAAAGGTCCTTTTCTCAACTAAGAGGAAGCCCAACAATTTCCATGCCCCTGGAGACTGGGGGGTGGGAGCACTCACAGAGAGAGGCTTAAAAGTCAGTCGTTAGGACTTCAGAAGGACTCAAACAGGGGGCCCGCTTCCAGCAGCCTGTCGGGGAGCCACCTGCGCTGACCTCCCCACGGCCCCTTGGCTCCCTCTTCAAGCTCCGTCTGCCTCGCCTCCAAGACTGTGCGCGCCAGCCTGGGGTGCCTGCCCCGTCCACCCTCGGCCCCCCACGACCGACGGGAAACTCAAACACCGGTGAACGCCGCAAAGTACACCATCGGGGGGAGCAAAGTCCCTGGCGGAGCCCTCAGCCACTTACGAGCGGGTTGCTCCCAGGGCTTTAGAAGCCGAGTTCACCAAGACTCGCGAAGGGGAGCACCTTGGCCTTGAAGGGCCCGTCGCCGGGCGCTCTGCCGCCCGCTCAGCGGGACCCCCCGGGCAGCCGTCCGGGCTGCGGGGCTCGCGGGGGGTTGCGTCTCCCAGGACACCGACACGTGCTCCTCCTTCGCTGCAACCACGGCCCGGTCCCACCAGGAGCCCTTCCCCGGTGCACAGGAGCAGAGCCGGCGCCGCGGCCCAGGCGGTCTAAACCGAGCGCTGCTGCTTAGCGTCGCTGCGGCACCTATGCAGCCCGGGTGTGTGAACTTCGTCTGCCTCAAATAATAACTGCTCTCTCTTAAAACATGTAATAATCCTTTCTATTTCAAATATTCCCTGGTATTTTATTACGAATAAACTTTGGAAGTCGGGTTCCAAAACCATCTTTTCTGTCCCGGAGCTGCCGGGCAGGCGGCCCAAGAGCTGCCATCGTGGGCTGGGGGTGCCCCCCGGGGCCCCGAAGGGAAACGCTGCCGGCAAGCGAGCTTACACTTTGCAGTCTTCCTTCAGGACCAGCCCCGCAAAGTTCTTCAGCTGGAGCACGTTCACGAGAAGACATTCGTTGGCACTGTCGAGCCTAGAGAAGGAGGAGGAGGCGGTCCACACGCTGCACGTGCCCCACGGTGGAAGGCTCCTCGCCGCCGACCCCCAGTGGTGGCCCTCCACTGGGGGTGCCCGTGCACCCTCCCCCCGGACACGCGCACATCTGGAGGCACTTCTGCTGCCGGGACTGGGTGCAGGCGGGAGGCCAGGTGTTACTGGCGCCTACTGAGCAGCCGCCAGGGATGCTGCTCGACATCCTCCAGCGCATAGGTCAGCCCCCAAAGCGAAGAAGGAGCCAGTCCCAGATGGCAATGGTGCCACCTCGACTGGAGTGATAAGTGAGCAAAACAAAGTCGTGGGGACACAAGCATTCTGCCGTGCCAGTCTGGACACTACTGGTTACTGCTTTTCACCGAAACTGCGATCAGAACCCAGAAAGCTTTGTGTGGCAGCCCACCTGGTACCTCACTCTGGGCAGGAGGGGACCGGCCTCCTGTGCAGTGGCGGACACAGGCGACTCCAGGTGGAATGTGTGGTAACTGCCCAGGGCTTTCCGTGCCCCCCACCTCCGTGACATCACAGCAGTGTTGGAGGACAGCAGTGGAGCTGCTCGTCCTCATCTCTCCTTCCTGCCACCTGTGTCCCCTCACAGGAGACCCTGAAGTGGTCCGGGGGTGTCCAGGCCCAGAGCAGCACCCAGACCACAGGGGTCCCTGCATCTCTCCCGGCCTGGAAGTGTGAGTCACTGGGTGGGCCCAATCTAGAGGTCATCTCTAGTAACAACAGGGTAGGGCTCTCTTATACTCACAAAAATCCAACGTGGATCTGGGGCCCTTCATTACCACAAATGTCCCCGTGTGTAGACTCTTCAGTATCTTCACTCCTGAACAAACCAGAAAGCCACTGGGGTTATTCCACAGGGAACCGGTCACTGCAGCTTTAGCAGAAGCTCTCTCGTGTTAGGGGCGCTTCTTACCGAGAAAGGCTTTCTTAAGTTGCGACACAAATAAATAGTTTATGTGACTAAAAGGACAAAGCAGGCCCGTCATACCTCAGTGGGCACCTGCCTACAAAGTGCTCTTGTTTTTGAGAAAATAACTTGGGATACTTTTCAAAATCACATGTGCTATTCAGGGCAAAGTTCCAAACTAACTTTTAAACCATCTGTGCTAAGTGAAATGTCTGACAGACACCTGGAAGGAAACAATGACATCAAACATATCAAATCAAGATAAAGTCCAGAATCCCAAAAGTGTTTTATTGTTACAAACGGATTCCTCTAGCTTAGGAAAGAAGAGAAGGAGGGAGAACCTCATTTCTAATGAATGCCCTTTCTAAAAGGGCAGGTCTCTCTTGTACACTGGCTCTCCTTCCCCAGCTCTCATGGGCTTAGGCCTTCAACTGCCCAGGGCCTGCCTGGAGGAAGTCATCCTCGAACCACAGGAGGAGGGCCAACCTCCAGATGTCACACAGAAGCCAGAGGACTTTTCTTCGTGGGTTGCTGAGGTCTGACCTACCAGAGTTGAGAGAAGTCGGGAAAAGATTCTAGCCTTGGTGACACACACAAACCTTCAATATGCAGAAGTCCCAAGATGCATACGTTTTGTGCTTAACAGTAACACTGTGGGAAGTGGGCTTAGGGGTAAGATCTAACCTTTTGGTTGGAGGCTCAAATACCCCGCTATCGCTCGCAAGCGAATAATCCGACAGGCATGCAGACACTCGCCGTGCTCTCCTCTCCAACCTCTTGGCGCTGTCTTCTCGAAGGGTCACTGCTACAAACAAGAGACACACCTGGGGTCAGGAGGTGACAGCACGGGAGGCCAGGGACCATGATGCTAAGAAATGAACACTCTAAGTTAGGCCACATACAAGTTACTAAGTGTTCCAGGGACATGCCATTATATATGCATACATCATATATGCATACATATGTTTGAATATGTTGCACTCAAAATCTTTTTGAATATTGAAAAACTGATGAAATAGACTTCTGGCTACTTCTTTAAAAGCTCTTTGAACAGTCACAAATTTCTCTTCACCTCTTTAATGAGCACACAGAACAGAATACGAAGGGGGGATGCCCATTTGTATCACACTTTAAAAGAGACCATCACACAGGAAAGACGGGGAAGAGATGTTACCCCGAATGTGGACAGTGCCTGTTACCTATGTGTATGTATGTGTTACCTAAATGTATGTGCCCGGCATGGGGCATTTTTCATTTCCTTCTTTATGCTGCTTGGTATTTCCTGTATTTCATACACTAAACATATACTATATATTTTATCAGAAAAAAACATTTTTTTTAATTATCCAAATAAACCCTAACAAGACACAGTGACTTTCAAGTCAGAGGACCCAGCTGACCCCAGACTCAGCCTTTGGAAACGCTCCTATGATGATGGTATCCTCCGCAGCAGCCCTGGGGCCAAACTGGCTTCCAAAATTGCTTTCCAGGGGTTAGCAAGCTACTGTTACAAGGCAGCTTATTTTTGCCTTGTATCCCTTCTGATCAAGAGCCGAAAATAAGCATCAACATTCTTCCTTTCAGCATTTCATCAACTGTCTCTGCTCTTCCCCGCACAAGTTCCTTCCCACAAAGCCAATAAATGCAGGCATACAATCCTCCCGTGCCAAGCGTGAAGGTGCACACAGGCGTCTCAACACTTTCCAGAGCGGCAGGCTTGGTTAGAATACAGAAATTTCACACGGAGCCCCGAACTGAGCCTTACTCTGACATCGCCATGCCTCCCGTTAACAGCGCAGGTCCCTCTGGCCACTTTGCACTTCTCTTTAGCCATCTAAGTTCTGAACGTGAAAACCTGGGCATCTCTGCATCCCTATGTTGAGGGAAATGTCCAGTCCACTGATGACCAGCTCACTCAACTAAACCATTATTCACACACAACAGTTTAATCCGAACACACTAAACAGCATACAGGGCTGTGGTGTTCAGTCTTAACCACCTCAACTGTAGACAAAAGCTGTCCTTCCAAAGGTCTGCAATGCCAAGCCTGGGCAGCTACAGGCTCCTCCCTGAGGGTCAGGGAACAAAGCTGGCTCCAGTCTAGGGTGGCCGGACGCAGGGACTCTCAAAGCCCAGCTCTTCTTGTCACTCCTGCCACAAGGGAGCCCCCAACCCCCCCCCCCCCAGCTGGGGACTGCAGGTGGAACTGTTCGTTGCGTGGATCTCTAGCAAACAAAGCTGCTCCCCATCTCCGGCCCTGGCCCTGCTGCTCAGCACGGCTCCTGGGCACAGCCTTGCATTCCCTCAAGGAAATAACACCAAGCCGTGACCCTAAGCACTCCTGGTTCACCCGACGGTACAACCCGCACAGAATGTCTCTCTCATTGCAATGGCAGTCCACGAGGAGAAAAAGGAAATGAAGGAATGAATCCTCACTGCTCCCAGGCTTAGTCCCCGCGCTCACGGAGCAACTGGAAGCAGTTGTTGGAAGGGAGTATGATGAGCAGTCGTCCTGGGTGAAGAAAAGCGCACAGCAGATCCCACGCTACATCCCCCCGCCATCTGCTCTCCGGCTTCGAGGTGAGACGGGGCACAGGGACCAATGCCAGTGAAGGCAGGAATAAACAATCTTCCAAACCTGCATTTTAAAAATCTCTGGCCTTTCCATCACAACAGACAGATACACACACACTGAGACCTAAGGATATCAACACTGCTTGACGGAAAAAAATATAATGAAAGTCACATTTGGGGCAAAGCTGCCAGCTGGCATACACTAAAATAATGAAAGCCACTGAAGTCTGGTAAAAAATACAGAGGAATAAGTACTGCAAGCTTTTAGAAAAGTTCTTATACAACTTTAGTAGCCAGAATAAATATTAATATTGAATTAATAATAATAGTAACTAGTGAGCTACGTTAAAGTACAACTATGCAGTCTGCCCTTCTCGGCCACACCCCCCCATCCTAAACACACTGATTCATTGCACAAAGACGTGCCTGCTGCCTGACCAACGAGGTGAAGGATTCCAAGGTCACTTACAGTGAACGTTTCTGTCGAGCCGCATGAGAAAAGAGATAAAAGAAAAGCACAAAGTGAAAAAACTGCAGAATTTAAGCCAACAATTTTAAACAGAGTATAATAGAAATATCAGTAAGATGAACAAAATCAAGGTTTTCCCAGATTTAGATTAGTGAGTACTGATGGGAAATGAAAACAGGAAAAGATTTCAAAATCATGACACATTTGACTTTTTTTTTTTAAGATTTTATTTTTAAGTAACCTCTACACCCAACGTGGGGCTCGAATTCACAGCCCTGAGATCAAGAGTCGCACGCTCCACCAACTGAGCCAACCAGGCATCCTGACACATTTGGTTTTTAAAATCCCAGAAAGAGGGGCACCTGGGTGGTTCAGCGGTTGACTATTGGCCTTCCGCTCAGGGCGTGATCCCGGGTCCCACGTTGGGCTCCCTGCAGGGAGCCTGCTTCTCCCTCTGTCTGTGTCTCTGCCTCTCTGTGTCTCTCATAAGTAAACAAAATCTTCAAAAAATAAATAAATAAAATCCCAGAAAGATAAAAGTATAGTAAAAATATTCAAAATGTTCAAGGTTAGAGTGTATTTTCCCACTCCCCCCTCCCACTGTCTGCGTCCTCGGATTGATTTAACACACAATGGAAGGAATTATTCCCAGAGCTGGCTTTGTAGGTTTGGGCAATCTTGAATCTTATCTTAGTAAAATGTCATCTTTCTTTTTTTTTAAATTTTATTTATTTATTCATGATAGACACAGAGAGAGAGAGACAGGCAGAGGGAGAAGCAGGTCCCACACCAGGAGCCCGACACGGGACTCGATCCCGGGACTCCAAGATCATGCCCTGGGCCAAAGGCAGGCGCTAAACCGCTGAGCCACCCAGAGATCCCAAATGTCATCTTTCTAAAACTCTCCAGAGGTCATACCTGAACTGTCCTCTTCCTCAGGAAACTAGAAAGTCAGAGGGAACTACGCGACAGCAGGCATCATAAGCGGGGGGTGGAGTAACATAAGGACTAGAAGGATCTGTGCCAGCTTTGTGAAGCTATGAGGACACTAGGCTCAAGCGTTCCCCCCAACGTCAAGAGAGGCAAGAAGTCACCCTGTGTCCATGCCTGAGGCTGGTTTCCCAACCCAGCGCTCTGCGAGCACCCTCCACAACCAACGCATTCACTGAGTTAATTACTTCGAGTTGAAAAAGACGGGCACCGAGGGGGGCACTGGGTGTCACACTATATGTTGGCAAATTGAACTCCAATAAAAACATATATATATATATAAAAGAAAAAAAAGAAAAGACCCAAGTCACCGGACAACGTCACACAAGAATTTACCACGAGGTGGCAGTATCTGAACCCAGCATAAAGCAAATACCTCCCCGTGGAAGGAGTCTGAACCATTATCAGTCAGCCAGAGTGGGAAGAAAAAAGAAATCAGGATCAGAAATCGAGTCAGCCCTTCTCCCTCCCACCCTGCCTTTCCCCAGGCCCCCGGGCCCTGTGTGGACTTTCCGTCTCACGGCACCGATACTCTTGGGTCTCACCCTTTGAAGACAGGCTGGCAGGGAGGCAAGGCAGTGACCGCGATCAGCTTAAGCAACAATGGATGTGTAATTTGGGCCCGATTTTGTATTTTCTTTTTTGAATGAAAGGAGTACACAGGGGGCACTGAACCTGTGATCATAAAGAATGAAGTGAACGAAGGGCACCTGCACAGGAGAATTACAGAAGCAGCAGAGGTGGGAACATGAAAGGTGCGTTCACAAACACACAGGAGACACCCAAATAACAGATGCCAAAAAGCCACGAGACTGCCTCAGGGCCTCACAGATTTCTGGTTCAGCATGTAGGTGCTAACGGGACTAAGATTCTCTTATACAGACGACAAGCAGTGTGGTTATATACAGAAAAGTCGGGGTAACAGAACGGGGGTGAATGGAAGAGCCATCAAGAGCGCCTTGCTCACGGGCAGGGAAGCCAAGACTCAGCCAAGTCCCAGGCGGGTCATGCCCACACAGCTAGCCAGTCAGCAGAGTCTGGGCCTCTAAGCTGCGAGGCTGACGCCGTTTCCACCACACCACCCTGGCTGTGTCCTCATGTTTTCTCTCTAGCCCCTGCTGCTGAAGGAGTCCCCGGCACATGTGCAGAGCTTCTCAGCCTCAGCACTACTGCCATTTTGGCTGGGTCAGCCCTCGTAGGGCTGCAGGATGTGGAGCAGCATCCCTGGTGCCCCCACTCCCACCCCCCACCCGCACCAGAGGCCAGGGGCCCCTCCCTACCGCGGCCTTCAGTTGTGACAACCAGCCACTGACAAGCACCTACCAGGGTTCAAAAGCTCCCCTGGTTGAGATCCACTAAGCTATACAAATACCTGGTGTTTGCCTACACAGAATGGCTAAAACCTTTCTGCTGTAAATAACAGCTCAGGAACTCCAGGAATGAGACCTTGCTCTCAATCCTCTCTGGAACCTAAGGAAGTTAAAAGTTGCCACAATTTGGCTCAGGAAAGCACATAAGGTCAAGGTACCAGGAGAGTCAGGGCCCGGGCCCCGCCTTGTGCATAAGCCATCAGCTAGAATATTCTTTAGGACAAGAGTTCCGTTTTCCATATGGGCTACAACCAGACAGGGCCTGGCACCAAGGAGAAGCTGAATTAACACTGACCAGATGGACAAAGTTCACGTTGCTCAATTTGGGGACCAGAGAAATCGCTTCAGTAAAAATGACGGATGCTTACCGGCACGTCTTTTGAAATTACACCAATTATTTTCATTCCCATGTTTGATAAACTACACCTTTGACAACTGTAAGGACACAGGATGAAGAGATGAAGTCACAGGGACAGAGGAAGTAGAGATTTCCAGCGGCAGACACAGTCCACGTGCTGCTATTGGGTGGCCCCCACCCTGGAAGGTTCTGGGAGCAGCTGCTGCCCAGGGGAGAGTGCGGTTCTCACCATCGTTTTCATCAATTAGGCATGTTCGGATAATAGGCCGAACACCTGGGAAAAGACGACTGTGCCATTTCCGTGACCTCTCCGGGCCCAGCGTGCAAGCCCCACGAGGAAAGCACGCAGCACACAGGCGGGCATGCTTCCCCACCCTGCCGACAGTCTGAAACCTAAAGCTCGCTAGGGAACTGAAGAGCCAGCGGACTTCAGTGCAACGGCCCACGGTCTCTTCCCCGAATCTAAGAGCCTCCTCTTCCCCGGATGGAGGAAACCCCAGGACTTCTCGATACTTACTTGCAGCCGTGGGAGCAGTGGTCACTTGAGGTCCCCGCTCGCGAGGTCCTTCCCCATCCCCAGGGAACCCGTGTGGCTGAAGGGACACCGTGCCTGGCAAGTCTTCATCCCCCAAAGCAGAGGCCTGAGCCCGCAGTCTGTCAAGGGTACCCAGGCCGGGCACCTCAAAAGTGTCCCCCAGTTGGGTCAAGGGCGAGTCGCGGGAGGCCGGAAGGAAAGGCGTGTCCAAGGGGGAGCTCGGGGGGGACAGCGAGGACAGGGAGGAGCGCGAGGACAGAGATGCCAAGGACTGCGGTGTGTCCAGGGAGCGCCTCTGCTTGTGGAAGCCTGAAGGCACCGGGGGATCCAAGAAGGGGGCATCACGCCCCAGGGAGTCAAAGGGGATGAGATCAAAGCGCAGCAGCTGGCTACACTCGGCGTCAGGCTTGTCGTACTGTGGGAGGCCGTAGATGTCGGTGAAGCTGACTGAGCTCAAGGACCCGCGGCTGGAGGCCAGCGAGCCCCGGCTGGAGGCCAGGGACCCGCGACTGCTCCCTGAAGACACGGTCAGGGTGCTGGCAGACAGGCTGAAACGAGACATACCCCACACTCTTTGAGGTGTGGCCTGAAGGCCCATGCTGGAGCCCCATTGTCCCCCACTGCTGAGCTGAGCACCTGGTCTGTTCCAGAGGGAACGACATCCAGCCCCATCCTGCCACCAACCAGAGCACGTCCTTAACCACTCACGAGCACTTCTAAGGCACCATCACTAATATTTCCTTCGTTTCCCTCTGAGTGTCAGTAGAGAGTGGTAGGTAACATCAGGGAAACGTGCCTAACATCAAGTTCCAGCTCAAACGCGGACCAGCGAGTCCACTGGGTCAAGTGATTTGTCCTCAGGACCGCCCCCCCCCACTTTGTCACTGGGGGCTGGGAGACTATCATTTCTACCCCGAGGCATTTTTAGGAGGAATGACAAAGAAATAATACATAGAAAGCCCTTCATATTACGCTTCACCATACAGTAAGTACTGGAAAACAAAGCTATTATCGAGCATGCCAATCTTCCTTTAAAAATGTTCCTATCATTTTTTTTAAAACAACAAAATAGAACCATCCATGTGCATGTGGAGATGGATACACACACTTCGGAAGCTGCTAATTCAATCACAGAATCATTGGCCGAACTTGACTTCAGACTCGTTATTCTGCAGCCAAACCTGGTTCTCCTCACATTCCCCGGATCCCACATGAGCAGTTCCTCTTAAAAATACAGCGTAGCCCCTTGCCACTGTGTGTGCCAGCACTTCGGGCTCTAAGTGCCGGGAGGAGGGAAACAAGCTAAAGGGGATGATGAAGCTCAAGGACACGTCATTATAACGTGGTAATTCGGTAGTTTCCTCTTCTAAAGCCACCTACCTTCCCAGGGGCGCCCGGATGGCTCAGCGGCTTAAGCGTCTGACTCCTGATTTCGGCTCAGGTCCTGATCTCAGGGTGGTGAGATCGCGGAGCCTGCTTGAGATCCTCTCTCTCCCTCTGCCCCTCCTCCCCTCAAAATCAGAATCAAAGTTACCTACCTTTTTAACTGGGACTGGAGATAGGACGCGAGGCGGGTGGCTTCTTCCAGCTGCATAAGGAGGCAATTTCTTTTTTCCTGAAGCAGAATCCTGTAGGTAAGAAAACAGGCCATTGGTGGATTTCAAAAATAGTGAGTTTATGATCTTCCCAATCAGAAATTCAACTGTAAATTCCCCCAAATGATTTAGGTTTCAACGACTAAGTTCTAATAACCACATCTGGGTCACAGACACCAAGATAAGAGGCTGTTTCATCTTGCTTGAAACTGCGCCCCCAGCACCCTGTACAGTGCCTGAGCCACTGCAGGAGCTCCACAGATGGGGGGATGTGAACGGATGGGGTGGGGGGAAGGACAGGTGTGTGAACAGACAGAAGGGATGAGAGGCTAGACTAAAAGATGGGCTCAGACACAGAGCAACACAGCAATCTACTGGAATTTCTTAGAACAAATCAGAGTCCCTCACTTAAGCCCTGCTCTGGGCAAAAATGCATGCAATTCTAAAATCCATAGAATTAAGATTAGATACAAATAAAACAGCAACTGTCACAGGGTTGAAGGTAATTTTTTTTCTTCTTTCCACTTTCTTCTTTCTTATTTCTGAAATGAACTTTCTCCACTGTACTAAGTCCACTGCCTAGAACAGAGCCCGACACTACATGTGCTCAACAGTTACTGAATGAATATGCTTGCCTCACAACAAAACAGTCCTTATTTATAAATCAAACGATGGCATTTACTGTGTGACTGCGTGGGCACCCTTAAGACAGGTGCTCTGTCCTTTGACAGGGGAAAGGCTTTATGCTGTCCCAACCCCCAGTGACACTCACTACCCCAGCGCAGACTTCCTACCTCACAACGAGGGCCCCTGAGCCGAGACAGGCAGACTGGCCAAGCGGCTGGCACATCTCAGTCCTAAGACACTGACCTTCCTCACTTTGTCCTGGCTCCACACCGGGTCTAAGGCCCCCCAGCCTTCCCAGGGAAAGCCTCCTGCCTCAGGGGCCCGTGCCGGTTAGCCGCAGATCCGGAGGACACATGTGGGCCAAATCGGTCCCAGGGGAGGGCTCTACAACACAGGACTCAGCTCCTGGGCTGGTCCCACAAGAGACTCCCTCAGCTGCACGAGCCTGGCGGGCTCAGTTCCTAAACCTGGGCATCAAGGGTAACATCAGCTCTGTGGGGGTCTGTAGATTTGTATTCTGGGACCCCAGCACTCATGTGGGCCAGCATTTCCATGTGGCGAGGGCAAAAACAGTCAAGGGTGCATGAGTGTGGGGTCCTGAGAAGCAGGTGACATTCATGGGACAGACTCCACCCCCCTTAAGAGAGAACCAACCCAACGAACTCCCAGCCCCTCCTACCCAGCACACACACAACAGAATACCAAGGGCACAGAAGCACAGATGAAAACTTCAGTTCACAGCCCCTTTCAGACTCAAAACTCCCTGTTTGAGTGAAGTGACAGGGCACATGACCATCTTAAGCAAACTAAAATTCACTTCACCTATTCCGATGAGCTGGGCTCTGCAAATACCACTTCCCGCCAATACAGACATCAGCCACTAATGTCCCCACACAGACCTCTATTAACGATGAATATCAAGCATCGATAGCCCCCATCACATACTGAGAACAGGTGATTAGATAACAGGTATCAGGGCATCCGTATGGACGAAATAATTCAGGTGACCATTAAACTGTATGTACAGAATGCTCATACAGATTCAGTGTGTGGTCCTTTAACACACTGGATTTTGGGCAGCCCGGGTGGCTCAGCGGTTTAGTGCTGCCTTTAGCCCAGGGAGTGATCCTGGAGACCCGGGATCGAGTCCCGCATCGGGCTCCCTGCGTGGACCCTGCTTCTCCCTCTGCCTGTGTCTCTCTCTCTCTCTCTCTGTGTCTCATGAATAAATAAATAAAATCTTTAAAAAAAAAAACCACACTGGATTTTAAGGTCCAGTAGATTATCAAATGCTGGGGAGTAGGGTGCTTTCCAAAGCTCAGCTGATACCCACAGATAAACTTCTGGCAGCTGTGAAATGTGCAAAGCCGGCCCAGCCTGCGACACAGCCCCTGATCATGCGTGGCGAGTGGAAGCCGGGAGCCGGGCACACACCGGGCTGAGCACGAGGGCTCGGGATGTTAGGCCAGCTTCACACCCTCGGCGCCAGCAAAGCGCCCAGCACAGACTGAGGAGAGGCACATCTGAGACCGGCCACATGCCGGGCTGCCGGCTTCCTGCTGCAACAGAGCGCGTAGATTTTCCTGGTGGAAACCTAAGTCGCAAGCCACGGGGCTCCGTCTCCGTGCCAGCGCCTGCCTCCCACCCTCCTGCTGCCAAACCCCATCTGTCCAGGCCGCTGGCGGGCAGACAAGGGGAAAGCACTCCAGTAGTGGGAAGGGGCGGGGGCTGAGCCGGGGGCTCCCATCTTCCCGCCCTCCATCCCCTCCTGCTTCTGAACACGAGCCCAGGACAGAGCTGGCACCGCCCGCAGAAGAGAGGGCGCACGCTCCCTGCCCCTCCTGCCTTCCCACTACTTGGCAAGAAAATAGCAGGCGGTAGATCCCTGAGTACCAACACTGAGGACCGATGCTGCCCAGTGCAAGTTCTCTGATTTGGCTTTTCCACCTGGTTCTTCACTCGGAGCTGAGGCCTGCATGCTCCCAAAACCGCGGGAGCCAGCGCACCTTTCCGTGGCGCCCTGCACAGATGTGGCCCGGGCCCGCTGGATCTCCTCCTCCAGGCGCCTCCTCTCCTCCTCCAGCCGGGCCACATCTTCCACCGGCCTTCTCTGCTGAATGATGAGCTGTAGCTCTTGGAGCAGGGCTTCCTTCTCCTTGATGAGCTGCAGCCGGTCCCTGTCGGCCTCGGCCAGACCCGGCCAGGACTCGTTATCAAGCTGGGCCAGCTGCTGCTGGATAGTAGAGACTCTGCAAGAGATGGGCCCAGAAAAGTCCGTGAGGTCAAAATATCACCTTCACACCTTCTCAACACCATCACACTGAGTCTAGAAACTCACTCTGCTAAGTAAATACTGACATTATTGCACCGAGTGACCCTTAAATGACAAAAACAAAGCACTGGGAAATTGCGGGTAATAAAGAGAGTGTGGAGGTTCTCTGCATAACCTCCCTGGCCTAGGAGATTAGGAAGGGCAGGAAGCATGGCATGCTCGTGTCAAAGCACTGATGAAAAGGCTGGCATCCTCCCACAGCCGTGCACTGTGCTGTCTCAGACCCGAGCCCTGCTGCATGGCACCGCCCCAGGGCAGGCGGAACCAGCTCCTCTCCCTGCGGCTCCCATCGTCAGTAGCTTAACACGGTGCTGGATGTGCAAGAGACGCTTCTGGCTTCCCGCCTGCACTGCCGCGCCTCACCGCCCCCACCCCCCAAGTCCGGCGCTCCCGTCTTCCAGCTCGGTGGGCCCTCTCCGGCACCAGGGACCTTGAGCATGGGGACATTCGGAACACCTCGCAGAGAGCACACGCTCAGCAAGAGCCGAACGCACGAACTGGGAGCAAACACAGCAGCAAATACACGAAAGCATGAGAGTCGGCTCCGCTAAGCGTGCCCGTGGCGTGAGCTCAGCAGGGGCGTGCAAACCAGCCAGCCTCGCTAAATGTATCGGCACGACCATCCTCCAGGTGTCAAATACGGGCTCTGGGGTCACTTTCCACGTGCCTAGGTCTCCGTGTGCTTGCTTGGTGCACACACTGCATCGCTTTGCATCCTGAGCTGTTGCTGAACACAGGTGAAATGAGATGGAAGTGGCTCGTGTTTTCAGAGCACCCTTTCACAGGCGGAGGAGAAGGATTTCCGCCTCTCAAGTTTAAGCGAGGCTAAATACGAGGGCTATCTGTTTTCAGACAGACGAGGGATGCTGGACTCGCCCTGACCCCGGTGCTGTGGACAGCAGATGTTGGCATACATGCCCAAAAAATAAAATCCAGGGACTTCTCTGAGGTCACAGAGAGTTGTGAAGACAGCGAAGGGGCAGGGGCTCATAGCCCTGTATCCTCTAAGGCAGCGACTCTCCAAGTGGGGTCCCTAAGCGGCAGCCTTGGCATTAGTGGGTGCTTCATGACAAATGGAAACCTCAGGTGCCACCCGAAGGCTGTTGCATGTGACACTCTGGGGATGGGGGTGGGCAATCCGGGCTTTAACAAGTCCTCCAGGTACTTCTGATGCTTACTTAAGTCTGAAAACCCTCTGCTTTCAGGCAGCCCAGCCTTGTCTGAAGCATCCTAAATGGCCATGGAGCTCTTAGGGGCTTGCATTAGGTTCCACTGTAATGATCCTCACTAAAATAGGAATGGCAGGAGGGCTCCTGACACTACCCTGTCCCCTGCCCAGGGCACACAAACTAATCAAAGCTGGCATCCCACCTGCTAGGTCCGGACCTCAGAATCCTTCTTTGTGCTCCCTTGCAGATACTGCCCATCAACTGCTGTCAGTCCTCATGGTAAAGCCCGTTGGCCAGCCCTGCACCAGCTCAGGCTCCTCTTGAGCTAGACATGAGCCTGGGGACTACCCAGCCTGGCTGGAGGGCTGGGTAAGACACCTTCAGATACCAAACCAATAAAACAACAACAAAAACAATAACAAACAAACACACACATACACACACACACACAAAAAGAGTAGGGGTGCCTGGTGGCTCAGTCAGTTAAACATCTGCCTTTGGCTCAGGTCATGATCTTAGGGGTCCTGGGATGGAGCCCCACATCACATCAGGCTCCCTGCAGGGAGTCTGCTTCTCTCTCTCCCTCTGCCCCTCCTCCCTCCCTGTGCTCTCTCTTTCTCTCTCAAAAAAAAAATCTTTTTTTAAAAAGAGTATACAAGTTATAGTTTAAACATGCACATTTTACTCAAGTCCAATTCCCTAAGAAGGTAAAGAAAATAGCCGAACGTCAGTAGCTTTATTAGGCAAGTTCTTTCCCAACTTAAAACTAATTTCCTGAAAATGTGTTGGAAAATGGTGCCAAATCATGTCACTGAAAAATACTACTGGCAGAGGCAGCTGACCAGGGTTAGGAATCCAACCAGGCTCAAGCATCCATCTATGTCTAATTAGTGTAATGAAAATTTATGGCAGTCATATAACTGAAGCCCAAGGAAAATATACTCCAAGTCGTCCCATAAATAAGTTAGTGCCAAATCAGACATTATACCCAATGAAATTTCTGGAACATTCTACTGGAGATCAAGACAAGCCAAAAGTAAGGAATAAATATGAAAGATGAACAAACCTAAGCAAATCCATTGTGTCCTCATAATTTTTCATTTAATTTATCTGATCAATCCTCAGGAAAGTCTCTCTGAACCCAGCTAAAGTTAGCCATATGGAAGATCTGGGTGGCTAGGTTGGTTAAGCATCTGCCTTCGGCTCAGGTCATGATCTTGGGGTTTTTGGATTGAGCCCTGCATCAGGCTCCCTGCTTAGTGGGGGGTCTGCTTCTCCCTCTGCCCCTTCCTCCACTCATGCTTTCTTTCACATGCTCTCTTTCTCAAAATAAATAAATAAATAAATAAATAAATAAAATCTTTATACAAAAAAATAAAGTTAGCCGTTATTACTTGGTAACATATATTACTTCTCACATATATATACTACAAGCACACACATTTGAAAAAGCACTCCCTTAGAGTTTTCTGAGGTGTACATGGAAGGTGATCCAGATTCCACGTGTGCTGACCAGGTGCGTCAGCTGCTGCTCTACAAGCATTCAAGTTGCTGAAGGTGGCAGGAGCTCCAACCCTAGATAATCCTACTCTATCCAGGCAAATCTCAAATAATATCCACTATCAGAAAAAAGAATGAGGGAAGGAAAGAATTAAAGGCAGGAAGAGAGGCAAGGGGCAAACTTCTTCAAAAGGTCTGTCCAGCAAAGGTACAAGAGAAATAGTACTGGGGCCAAGGTGAAGCACAGTACTGTGACTTTGTACAGCTTACAAGGGAAACATGCACAGACATAGGGCAAGGGACAACCTCTGTAACAGAAACAAAATCTGGATGAAGCTGACGTCATGCGATCCATCTGGAAAAGTTGTTTGAGTTGCGCTAAACACAAGGCGAGCATGTCTACGCTTAAGACAAGTGCTTTTTAAAATAATTAAATTGCACAATGATGCAAATGATTGCATGGTCATCTCCGAGCTAGCTATGAATCTAGAAGAATACCGATATATATTGCCAAGTGTCATTTTTTCCCCTATATCCAAACTCCAGACGCAGACATCTGGGGCCTGCTCTCAGCCAGGTTGAGAGTGTGGCACATATGTCTCGCCTGTCTGCACTGGAAGCCAAAAGCTCTCGAAGGATTCCTTCGATGATTTCTTGTGCACTCACCAAGGGACAGACAAGACGGCTTTACCTCTGACGCAGTATGCCTCGTCTACTGTGCTGCTGGCCTAGAAACAAGCCATCTGCGAGGAGTATGCTTCGTGCATTAGGTTTACTGGAGGGAACAGACTTGGCACCTAAGGCTAAGCACAGACGTAGAGGTACAGCGCCCCTTCTTCTACATCCACACCACACGGCTGAGCCGAAGGCCGGAGCCCCACTCTGGCAAGTACTATTATTCTAATTCTGCACAATATGAGAAAAACAATCTCTAGAAAGCCTCCCCCGCCCCACTGCCCACTGAAATATCATTTAGGTGACATTAAATACATGAAAGCAAAGCAAGGTCATGATTAAACTTTGCAAAAAAGAAACTTTCCCAAGGTCATTTTTATTTTTTTTTAATTTTTTTGATTTTTTATTTTTTTTTCCAAGGTCATTTTTAAAGAAAACTGAGATCAACTTAAAATTGGTGAGGGTTAAAAAAAAAAATTGGTGAGGTTTTTTTTTTTTCCTATTAGTCAACTTTAATCTGTATTGATATTAATTTTTGATAGGTAATACATTTTATGGCCGATATATAATCTCTCACAAATGCCTTTAAAAGCTTTAAAATATATGTCCCTGTGCTCAGGATAGAGAAGAAATGAGAGCAAACCCTCATTCAAGCATTCAGGTTTCATATTTATTATGTGATCTCCAAATTCTGTTCCTTGAACAGGTCTAATGCAGACAGAAATAAAATATGAATTATTTTTCCCTATTTTTCCCCGAACACGTTTTCTATTATAAACCAGCCACCATTAAACCATGAATGGAAACCTGCATTTATGCTGCAAAAGCTTCTGAGCCCCTCACAATTCACATGGAAATCCTAAATGTGATTTGCATTTTTATTTTTAGAAATGCACTTTTAATATAACAGTTTTGAGGTATATTTTATATATCCAACATAATCCTTAATTATTGGAATTTATACCTAAATTCTGCAGCCTACTATATTTTTGCAAGTTCCTAAAATACGGTTGCTTTCTGGAAGAGAAACGAAACTCCAGGCAAGCCATGGTCCTGTCTGGTTACGGGACATGACAGACCCCAATGCCACATTCCAGGGCACGAAGTCAGCTTAGAAACTTGTGCCTTCAGATTTTAATCTCAGCTACAGATTTGATACTTCGTATGTTTTCTCTCCTGAGTTTTCTTTTTGCAAAAACCCATGTAAGTGAAAAGCAAAAGTTCAAGAAAATCTCAGCTGAGATCTAGGCCAGATAGATAAAAATCACTGCAGCTGATTGAATTAAATATCAATAAACTGGTGTCCATTTGGCTCAGCTCTCTATCCTAAAGGAAAATTCGAGAAGTCTGAATCTAGAATATGTGGTGTAGGCAGGATCTACTAACACCCCCAAATCCCTCCCTGCCCTCATGCCGTGTCCCCTTTGAGCATCCAGAGCTTTAGAGAGTGACTTCTTTAAATGAAAAGCAGGACACCTGCAGGGTTCCTTCTCTTGGCCTGAGTGGGGAAGGAGGAGCAACAGGGCCTAGGATGCTTTCCCGTGTTTGCCCCAGGTCTGCCTCACCCCCAAAC